CAATAATTGCTGAGAGGTTTTCTCATCCTCCCTTCTCTCATGATAACACGCGCACGAGTCCTATCACGAAGTAAAAAGAGAAGTTCATTGTGCTTCTTGAGTAACGCGCAGTAATGGGATGTAGCAAATGATAACGGCGTTATAGTTACAGTCAAAGTAATTAGTTAGATTACTCGTTACTGAAAAAAGTAACGGCGTTAGTAACGCCGTTACTAGTAACGCCGTTATTCCCATCACTGGCTATACCCAAATACATCAAAATACTTTTGAATCTCTGTTGGTTGTAATCTATCTCATTGATCTAGGCATTAATCTAGGCTACACTCATATGAACTTTTTGCATTGTCAACATTCACTCATGTGTGAACACAAGTGAATTTGGCAGTATCTAATAAAACTGTACATAAACTGTAATTAACTTTATCTACTTTTGAAGTAAATGTTTGTGAAATGGTCCCTTTACCATTTGATATTAACACTGGCTGGAAATATTCTCTATTTTTGAAAGCATCTATGGTTGATGCATTTATCTATCTCTATTTTTACACTATTGTGACTCCAAAGTTTGGCTGCAGTTTGAGCAAAGGCATATTCCTAATTTGTGACTTCTGTCACTTTTAATATCTCTAAAATACTCTGATTCTAATATTATAGCTGATCTATCAAAAGGATAACATTGTAGGGTACTATTTTAACTCTTATGTGGAAATGTGTTTATGAACAACAAAGAAAGGACATATCTACTTTTTTACTACTATTTAACATCTACTAAAACGCTACAATACTCATACTTTATCATTTTCAAAGTTTTTGTCTGTCAGATGTCTGAATACTTAACATGTATATTGCATTTGTCACAGGTTCTGGTTGTAGCAATAGCATCGGCAATAGACGTTTTCATTGGCTGGTTCTTGTTCTGCAAATGTCTGTGTCCAATAGATCATCAGATGTCCAGAAGCTAGGGACAAACAAAAACAAAAGAAAGAATCATGAGTATCTCTCTCATTTAGCACTCATCTATGTATGATTTTAGAAATATAAACATCACTCCCCAGTTTTCTCTCTCTCAGATCCTCAGGTCCTCAGGGTCCTCTGAGGGTGAGTCTCAGTCGTCATCAGGTCAGGTCATATTTCGAGAGATGTCATCTTGGACATCAGTAGGGTCCAAGCCATGGTTTTGGTCTCTCCAGTTGGACATCAGGATCTCCAGATACAGTCTTTTCAGTTGAAGCACATCAGGTCATTTGCGATGCACTTCTGGTCAATGGTGCAGTGTCTCAGTTCCTGTACACAGCTTGTTATGCAGTAGTTACTCTCTATGGTTAAGTCACTTTGATTCTACTTTAACACAATTTCTATTCATGCTGTTGCTAATGTCTCTCAGACAAAAGCAAGCGCAGTTTACTTCTCTAATTTGTATTTTTATCAGATCTAATTCTAATCAATGTAATTACTTCACACAGTACAAAATCAACAAATCAAAAGTGTCAGGACAGATCAATTATGTCCATGACAATATAGAATTCAAATGAACATTTCTGGTCTCAAAAAATACAGATTCAAGTGATAGACAAATAAAAATATGTGTTTACATTGGAGTAAACTTTTAAAATGCTTTTTTCTCATGTTCTGCTTTTTCATGTATCTATATGTAAATGTGAATGTGTGAGTGTATGTGTGTGTGTGTGTGTGTGTGTGTGTGTATGTGAATTTTGGGGTTGTGTCTCCAGACTCCCCGAACCACCCGTAGGTGTCAAAGGTCACACTGTGGTGATGCAAACCAACTGGACACACTTTCAACTCTCCTCCAGGTCTCTCCCTGACGCTCCACCCATCACTGCCTCCAGAAACCTCTCTTTCATGGCCCCGGTCTCACTCCCACTTACTTCTGTAGTGGGGGGAGGGGCAAGGAGGTGGCATTTCCCTTTGCTCTTTGATCTGTGACCTGTGGCTGGGTGGGCTTTGGTGTCCAGTGTCCAGCAGTGACCTCTCGTACAGTGAGGCAGTCTGAAAAACAATCCTTGAGACGGCCAATTTAAAAAAACAATAGATATCAGTATGCGAATGAGATTGTTTTTCTCTCTGAAGTCAAAACAATTTTGGAGCGCTCTGGGTTTTCCCAAGCGCTATGTAAATAAAAGATTACTTATTATCTTACTAATGATGACATTTTTAAGACCAGAAACTCTTAATATAAAAAAACAAGACTCAAATCTCAAAAAACCTTTAAACTTTAAAATATGTATTATGTACTTTTGTACTGTGTTTAATTATCTATGCATTTATCTCAGCATATATTTTACTAATTTAAAATAATTGCAGCATTTTTCAAATGAAGTCAGTATGAATTGGAGCACATTTTAGACCAGGCTCCTGTGCTGCGTGCATCTGCAGCAGGAGGAAGGTCAGGTGCATAGTCAAAACAAAAACGTCACCGCTTGCAATGGGTGAATTGGGTAGTTTAACTTAATAATACTTTTACAGCCTAATTCCCTCTTTCTTTTTAGACGAAGTCTATAATCAATAATCACTTTTAACACAGATTCTAATTTAAATGTTTGAAAAACGGCTTTTGTAACTAAAATAAAAACATAAAAAAATTCTCACAAACAGCTATGAAATATATCAGAGATACAATAATGGACTCACAAAATAAGCAGCAGATTTAAAAGAATGGAATCTAGAAATATGTTAGGTCTAAAAAGAATTGCACAGCTTTTAGCACTAATCTTTGGGTTTCAAAAAAAAAAAAAAAAACATATAATATTCAAAACTTATTCACTAATGGTGTTTAAAAACGTTTAACTGTGTCATAACACAATGTTCAAATGGCAAATTTCGCAAATTTAACGGAATAACAACTATGAAAAGCCTAAATCCTAAAACAGTAGCTTTGCTCTGATTCAGAGCCAGAGCAGCGAAGGAGGGGGCCGTTTCCCTGACAACGGCAGCAAATAGTGCGGCGCACACACAGGCAGAAAGATACAGAAGAATAACTTTCAAGATTACTTTGTTAAGCGAATATAACTTATGTTGTTCTTTATACTTTTGTCATCCAAGTCTAGAAATGGCCACTTTCCACACTAGTAACAAAAGGCACTCTTGTCTTTAACGTTTACGCTTCTATTTTATCGAGGTAGCAAACTAATTTAAACTCAAAATCTCTTTCTAAAAAACAAAAACAACTGTTGGATACAACCCTCTCATAGTTTAACTGTAGATAAAACTCTGCAAAAAATGTAAATAACTCACGAAAGCTCTCATAGCTCAACTTTAGATAAAACTCTGCATTCTCCGGTGAACTCTGTTCACGCCAAAAACAAAAACTCCCTTTTTCTGTATGTAATTTAAACCGTGATCACTGAAATATAACAGATGTTATTGCTTCAACTTTTGTCATTTATCAAGCCTGGAATTGGTTAATTACAAAACTTTTTGTGACAAAAGGCCTCCTTAACACGTTTCCCTTTTTAAAAATTATTTTATTTTTTACACCATGGTTTCACTAACTATTCTGGCCGTAACTGCTATTTTGTCGAGGTAGCAACCTGTTTTGATCATTTAAACTGCCATTTTATCGAGGTGGCGGACCTGATGATCAATTACACTGCCATTTTATCGAGGTGGCTTACCTGATGATCATTTAAACTGCCATTTTATCGAGGTGGCGGACCTGATGATCAATTACACTGCCATTTTATCGAGGTGGCTTACCTGAATCTTACCTAATCCGATCTATATAGATATACGACATTTGGTGGACCTCAAAACAGACCATAATTTAGTTCACTCAATTAGCAGACTTTGAATAAACAGGTGTCCGCTCTTACCTTTTGTCGAACAGGGCCCAGGCACCGTCAGAAGTCCACCAAATATCAGCTTTTCCACGTCCAACCGGGTCTCCCAGATCATGAACCAGCGCTCACTAGTACCGGGAACTAGTTTCCATCGGCAGAGACCAATCGCACGTCAAAAATCCCCGGAATGTGGACATGGGACAACAATTTTAAACGCTCAGTCCAAAAAACAGGACACAAAAAAATATAGTGAGACAGCAAAAAAGAGTCCCGGAGCCGGTCGCCTCTCCAGCCTGCTGGACCGCTCCCAGGCCCCAGACACTCTCAGCTCTCCCACGCCGAGAAAAAGAAAACAAAGAAAACTCCCTCAAAACAATCCAGAGAATGGCACACACGGAGCCGCGCATTCTCCACCAAATCTGTTAGGATTTAGCAGACAGAGACGGATCGTGGTGTGCCAAACTCTGGAAGTTTATTTAAGTTTCTCTCAAGGTCCACTGGTTTACTCTGTTTCTTTCTCCCAGACAGAATAAAGGCAGTACACAGTTTATATAGTCATTGTCACGTCACACATCGAAAGACATACGTGTCACAAAGAGACAGTCACATCATAGTCATAACATGGAGTCCTTGTAGAGTCCTTGTACAGTCCTGCACGTAGGCCATATTGCTATCTAATACTAACAGTCATGCGAGGAAACTCGTGCCACAAAATACGGAGAGCCTTACCAGCCCCTTTAATCCTCACTGAGGACGGCCTCTCACCCGCTCTAAGCCACTCCAACAGAGATCGAATATCTGGGTCCTCTTGCTGCAGACGCCTTACGTTGGAACCTTCCTGAAAGAGGGTTTGTAGGTCACTCCCGTCAGGGGGTACCGAGGGCTCACAAGAATCTGATGTCTGAGCACTTAGGGGAGCCTCCGTAGAAGCTTCGACCCCACATACAGCCACCGAAGTTGACATATCCATAGTCTGCGTCTCAGAGCTCACCATGATTATCTGGGACACAGGACAGCGAGACAACGCGTCGGCATTAGTATGCTGGACCCCACTCTTATGGACAATAATCCAGTCATACGGATCCAATTCCAGGGCCCAGCGACAGCGTCGACCCGTCCTATCATTGTCAACGGGAAGCTGCCTCAGACCAAGCAGTGGCTTGTGATCGGTCACAATGGTAAAATGTCGAAGACCTAAATAGTCTAAAATCTAAAATCACACTGCACAGACGAGGGCAGGCTGTCCCACAACAGAAACGCCGCACCATCCAGCCGGGTGGGCAGCAGAGCGGATAAGGACGCGGCATAGCTTCTCCCATCACCCCGGGTCTGAGCGCGGACCGCCGCTTCGAACTGCTTTATCCAGGTAGCGAAAAGTTTACGTCCATCTCCACAAAACGCTGCAGGCAGGTCCACTCTGACATTGCACACCCCCTGGGTCCACGGAGGTACGTACTTGCATTCATCCTCAGCCATACCGGTGTTCTGTCGAGTTGGTCTGCCTGTCGAGATGATCTGGCTCAGCTGTTAATGATGTAATGCAGCGGCGGATCACGGCAGCCAAAGCAATCCAAGATGGCGGACATGTAGTCCGCGAATTACTTTAAAAGTTAAATATGAACGAATTAAGGCAAGGCAAGGCAAGTTTATTTATATAGCACAATTCATACACAAGGCAATTCAAAGTGCTGAACAAAACAAGAAAGCATTAAAATCATAAATTATCACAGAACATTAAAACGAAAGATAAAAATATAAAATCCCTCAGTTGTATGCACAATTAAACAGAACTGTCTTTAACCTGGTTTTAAACATTGTCATAGAGGAGGCCTGTCTCACATCTTCAGGAAGACTGTTCCAGATTTTAGCAGCATGAATCTGAAACGCAGCCTCCCCATGTTTAGTTCTGACTCTGGGCACTAACAGGAGTCCAGTCCCTGTGCTCCTCAGAGTCCGGGCTGGTTCATATGGGACTAACATGTCACTAATATATTTTGGTGCGAGGCTGTGGAGAGACTTGTACACAAGCAGAGCTGTTTTAAAGTCTATTCTCTGAGCCACAGGAAGCCAGTGCAGAGACCTGAGAACTGGACAAATGTGGTCGTACTTCCTGGTTCTAGTCAGGACTCGAGCTGCTGCATTTTGAATGTACTGCAGCTGTTTTACAGCCTGTTTGGACAGACCTGTGAGCAGGCCATTGCAGTAGTCTAACCTACTGGAGACAAATGCATGGATAAGAATCTCCAGGTCTGCTTTAGACACTATGTTTTTGATCCTGGCAATGTTTTTTAGATGGTGAAAAGCTGCTGATGTTACTGATTTGATGTGGCTATTAAAATTTAAGTCTGAGTCCAGTATTACCCCTAGATTTCTGACCTTGTTTGAAGGTTTTAGGGAGAGAGACTGTAGGTGACAGATGACGCTCTCTCTTTGTTTCTGGGGACCAAAGACAATCATTTCAGTTTTGTCTGCGTTTAGCTGAAGGAAGTTGTTTTGCATCCACTCACTGATCTGTTGGATACAGTGAAGGAGTGAGTCCACTGGTCCATGTTCTCCTGCAGTCAGTGAGACATAGATCTGAGTGTCGTCTGCATAGTTATGATAGGAAACTTTGTTTCTGCGTATTAACTGACCTAACGGCAGCATGTAGAGATTGAACAGAACAGTACACAGTTTATATAGTCATTGTCACGTCACACATCGAAAGACATACGTGTCACAAAGAGACAGTCACATCATAGTCATAACATGGAGTCCTTGTAGAGTCCTTGTACAGTCCTGCACGTAGGCCATATTGCTATCTAATACTAACAGTCATGCGAGGAAACTCGTGCCACAAAATACGGAGAGCCTTACCAGCCCCTTTAATCCTCACTGAGGACGGCCTCTCACCCGCTCTAAGCCACTCCAACAGAGATCGAATATCTGGGTCCTCTTGCTGCAGACGCCTTACGTTGGAACCTTCCTGAAAGAGGGTTTGTAGGTCACTCCCGTCAGGGGGTACCGAGGGCTCACAAGAATCCGATGTCTGAGCACTTAGGGGAGCCTCCGTAGAAGCTTCGACCCCACATACAGCCACCGAAGTTGACATATCCATAGTCTGCGTCTCAGAGCTCACCATGATTATCTGGGACACAGGACAGCGAGACAACGCGTCGGCATTAGTATGCTGGACCCCACTCTTATGGACAATAATCCAGTCATACAGATCCAATTCCAGGGCCCAGCGACAGCGTCGACCCGTCCTATCATTGTCAACGGGAAGCTGCCTCAGACCAAGCAGTGGCTTGTGATCGGTCACAATGGTAAAATGTCGAAGACCTAAATTTCGCCTAAAGTTCCGGATGGACCACACAATGGCCCAAAGCTCTCTATCGTATGTCGACCACTTCCGCTCTGCCACCGTAAGGGCATGACTGGCATAAGCGACAACCCGTTCCAGTCCTTCAACAGATTGCGTAAGCACCGATCCGACAGCAACTTGGGACGCATCAGTATACAACACAAAAGGTTGTGTAAAGTCAGGATGGCACATTACCGGTTCAGCACAAAGAGCGTCTCTCAGAAACTCAAATGACTCTTGGCATTCTTCTGACCAGGTAAATGGTACGTTTTTTCCCGTGAGATGGATGAGAGGGGAGGCATGTTGTGCAAAACCTCTCACAAACCTCCTATAATACGAGCAGAGACCAAGGAAGGCACGAACTTCAGTGGCAGAACGAGGAATAGGCCAGTCTCTCACCTTACATGTGTTCCTTGGGTCGGGCCGCAGCCCCTCAGCCGAGACAACATGCCCCAGGAACGCTACATGGTCACGAGCCATTTGACATTTCTTAGCCTTCAACCGCAGGCCAGCCGCACCAATTCTCGAAAGAACCTGCTCCAAGGCTACAACATGCTCACTGAACGACCTGCTAAAAATCAGAATGTCATCCAGATAAATCATACAAATATGCCAGGGAAGCCCCTTCAAGACCAGCTCCATGAATCTCTGGAAGGTAGCTGGAGCATTAGTGAGACCCATGGGCATAGACCGAAACTAATACAGACCATGGCCGGTGTTAAAGGCTGTTTTCTCACGGTCTTCCTCAGCTACTTCCACCTGCCAGTATCCATCTGAAAAGTCCAGTGTGCTGAACCATGTAGCCCCTGCCAAGGCATCTAATGTGTCATCTACCCGAGGCAATGGGTGTGAATCTCTCACCGTGACCGCATTCAGACCCCTGTAGTCCACACAAAACCTCCATGTGTTGTCCTTCCTCACAAGCACCACAGGAGAGGACCACGGGCTACAACTTTCCTCAATGACCCCATCTGCCAGGAGTTGCTGCACCTGCCTGTCGATCTCCCTCCGTTTGTCAGGGGACGTCCTGTAAGCCCTCTTACGAACGGGGAGGCTACCGTTTGTGTTAATGTGGTGTTTTATCACACCCGTAGCCTTAGTGAATCCACCCCCAGTACGGAAAACATTACAGTGTCTCTTTAACAATTCACTGAGTTGCTGCCTTTGATCATCTGTGAGGTAACAGTCCCCTCAGTCCGGTAGAGTCACTGGCTTAGCGTCAGGGTCAACACCGTCCGTCGGCTCAAAAACGTCACTGTTATTGACATGATGAAGGACCCCCAAATGCGAACCGGAATGCATCCTCAACTCATGGTCAGTGGGGTTAAGTAACCGCGCGACAGTGAGTCCATCCTTAACCGGAGCCACTGTACGTGCAACCACTAACTCCATTGAATCCCTCGTCTCAGGTTCCACATACCCGATATAGAAATCAGTGTGCGGCTCCATGGAGCGCGGAGCCTCCACCTGCACAGGGACAACCATTTCACAGTAAGGAGGAATGATGACATCTGTGGACATAGTAATATTACAGCATCTTGGAATAAGGTCATTAGCATGTAACAATGGTATAACCACTCCCCCCAGGTGCAATACACTATGTCCCACGTCAAGAACAGCATGAAACTCTGACAAAAAATCAAAACCCAGCAAAACTCGTTGTGTTGCCCCTCTTACAACATGCACCATCTGATCCACATACATTCCCCCCAAATACATGGGAACAGTCGTCGTGCCAAGTGCGTCCAATAATTGTCCGTTGACAGCATGAGCAAAGATGTAATCATTACTCAATACACGTTTACGCAAAGCAGGGACTGACATTTTAAATTCTTCTGTGATTAATGACACGTTAGAACCAGAGTCAATGAGTATAGGAACATCCACTCCCTCAATGGATCCACTGATATATGATGTACACTTGGACTCACCCACAGCACAGCAATCCATAGAGGAAGATTCAATCTCCGCCGTGGAATGTCCACCGCGACCCTGAGAATGCGAAACTGGCGGTCGGGCCTCACCTCCAGTTACTGGTCGTTTCCCTGGTTCCGTCTGATTGGAGAAGGAGAAGGGGAACGCCGAGAAGGGGAACGCCGAGAAGGTGAACGCCGACTGGGTGACAGAAATCTCAAACCGCGTCTCCACTCTGGCTCCACGGAGAAACGTCCTCTCCGGGGAGTCTCGTCCTCTTCACGACGGTGAGGGTAATCAGGCGCCGCGCCCCGATCCTCCTGCGCCTGTGGGGACCACTCCCGGGTATTCCTGGATCCGTATCGCGGTGCACGACCATTGCACTCCACGCGATGCTCACGAGCAGAGGATCTGCAGCCAAATCCGCCACACTCGCAGGCACACGGAAAACCTTGACTAGTGCGCGGTGTGTGGTCACTCCGTTGTGCTCTCAAATTGACCACCTCCATCTGTAGTTTGTCCATCCTGTCTGTAAGCCGCTCCACAGCACCGGGAAGCTTTCCCGTCACTCCGAAAGTGCCCAGCGCTGTCCCCTCAGCCGCGGAGAGAGAGGCCACCGTGGCTGGTGCAGGATGGGAGCCGGTTCCGCTCTATAGACCCACACCCAGGGCCATTCTAGCGCGCTCGCATCGACCCGCTATCATCAGTGCTTTCTCCAAGTCAGTTGCGCCTTGTTTAGGGCATTGGGCCCGCAGCTCAGGGTCAAGTCCAGCCAGAAAGCGACGGAACTTCTCAGCATTCTGTGCCATTTTGTCATACTCCGGGAAAGCTTCAGCAACGAGCCGGGAAAGGTCCGCAGCGTACAGCTCCAGGCTCGCACGTCTGAAAATACAGCAAAAACTGTTTCTGTCCAAAATCCTCATTGAGTTTTTCCTTCACCCGTTCAAAATCACACTGCACAGACGAGGGCAGGCTGTCCCACAACAGAAACGCCGCACCATCCAGCCGGGTGGGCAGCAGAGCGGATAAGGACGTGGCATAGCTTCTCCCATCACCCCGGGTCTGAGCGCGGACCGCCGCTTCGAACTGCTTTATCCAGGTAGCGAAAAGTTTACGTCCATCTCCACAAAACGGGTCCACTCTGACATTGCACACCCCCTGGGTCCACGGAGGTACGTACTTGCATTCATCCTCAGCCATACCGGTGTTCTGTCGAGTTGGTCTGCCTGTCGAGATGATCTGGCTCAGCTGTTAATGATGTAATGCAGCGGCGGATCACGGCAGCCAAAGCAATCCAAGATGGCGGACATGTAGTCCGCGAATTACTTTAAAAGTTAAATATGAACGAATTAAGGCAAGGCAAGGCAAGTTTATTTATATAGCACAATTCATACACAAGGCAATTCAAAGTGCTGAACAAAACAAGAAAGCATTAAAATCATAAATTATCACAGAACATTAAAACGAAAGATAAAAATATAAAATCCCTCAGTTGTATGCACAATTAAACAGAACTGTCTTTAACCTGGTTTTAAACATTGTCATAGAGGAGGCCTGTCTCACATCTTCAGGAAGACTGTTCCAGATTTTAGCAGCATGAATCTGAAACGCAGCCTCCCCATGTTTAGTTCTGACTCTGGGCACTAACAGGAGTCCAGTCCCTGTGCTCCTCAGAGTCCGGGCTGGTTCATATGGGACTAACATGTCACTAATATATTTTGGTGCGAGGCTATGGAGAGACTTGTACACAAGCAGAGCTGTTTTAAAGTCTATTCTCTGAGCCACAGGAAGCCAGTGCAGAGACCTGAGAACTGGACAAATGTGGTCGTACTTCCTGGTTCTAGTCAGGACTCGAGCTGCTGCATTTTGAATGTACTGCAGCTGTTTTACAGCCTGTTTGGACAGACCTGTGAGCAGGCCATTGCAGTAGTCTAACCTACTGGAGACAAATGCATGGATAAGAATCTCCAGGTCTGCTTTAGACACTATGTTTTTGATCCTGGCAATGTTTTTTAGATGGTAAAAAGCTGCTGATGTTACTGATTTGATGTGGCTATTAAAATTTAAGTCTGAGTCCAGTATTACCCCTAGATTTCTGACCTTGTTTGAAGGTTTTAGGGAGAGAGACTGTAGGTGACAGATGACGCTCTCTCTTTGTTTCTGGGGACCAAAGACAATCATTTCAGTTTTGTCTGCGTTTAGCTGAAGGAAGTTGTTTTGCATCCACTCACTGATCTGTTGGATACAGTGAAGGAGTGAGTCCACTGGTCCATGTTCTCCTGCAGTCAGTGAGACATAGATCTGAGTGTCGTCTGCATAGTTATGATAGGAAACTTTGTTTCTGCGTATTAACTGACCTAACGGCAGCATGTAGAGATTGAACAGAAGAGGTCCCAGGATCGACCCCTGTGGGACTCCACAGGTCAGGGCCATATGATCTGACACACAGTTTCCAATCTCCACAAAGTACTTCCTGTCTTCAAGGTAAGACCCAAACCAACTTAGGGCGGTGCCAGTGACGCCAACCCAGTCCTCTAGTCTCTGTAAGAGGATCTCATGGTCGACGGTGTCAAAGGCAGCACTTAGATCTAACAAGATTAAGATTGAGACTTTGCCTGCGTCAGTGTTCAGCCGGATATCGTTTGTAACCTTAACGAGAGCAGTCTCAGTGCTGTGGTGGGGTCTAAAGCCGGACTGAAACATATCAAATGAGTTGTTGATTATAAGAAATCTAGTAAGCTGTAGGTAGACAACTTTCTCAAGGACTTTCCCCATAAATGGCAGATTTGAGATGGGACGATAGTTGTTAAGTACCGTAGCATCGAGACTGCTCTTTTTTAGCAGGGGCCTGATGACTGCAGTTTTCAGGGCCTTTGGGAATATTCCAGAATGAAGGGACATGTTTACTATCTGTGTGAGTGAAGGTAACAGACTGCTCAGAACAGACTTCAGAAATCTAGTGGGTAGTACATCCAAGCTGCATGTGGAGGAGCTCAAACTGGAGATTATCTCTTGGACAGTTTTATCATTTACAGGTGCAAAGTGAGTTAGCTCAGAGAGCCTTTCTGGCTGTTGGATGGTTATCTGTGGATTGGAGACAATGACGTTTTTGATGCCTTGAACCTTGTCATTGAAAAAATTAGCAAACTCATTGCATTTACGTTTGGAAGTAAGCTCTAATGGCATTTGAACAGGGGGGTTTGTTAATCTATTAACTGTTGAGAACAGAACACGCAGATTGTTGCTGCAGCCTTCAATCATTTCAGAAAAATACCTTTCTCTCGTACTACGTAGCACCCGGTTAAACTCGCACAATTTATCTTTGAAGATCTCGTAATCAACCTGGAGGTTGGACTTGCGCCACTTCCGCTCGGCCCTCCGGCACTTTCTCTTTTGTGCCCTGACCGAGTCTGCTTTAGCCCACGGCGCCTTCTGCTTATTTTTCACTATTTTAACCTTCACAGGGGCAACGGTATCCAGAACATTCAAAACACTAGAGGTGACAGAGTTAAACAGTTCATCTACAGTAGAATACGATGCATTCTCAAAGTTTATCATTCCCATAAATAGTTCACTCGTATTTTCATTTATGCGCCTTCTTCGAACAGTTGCAGAGTCCACTGGTGGTTTGTTAGTGAAACACATGTCAAAAAAAACACAGAAATGATCCGAAAGAGCAACATCGACCACGTTTACATTTGAAATATTCACCCCCTTTGTAACTAACAGATCTAGAGTGTGCCCTCTGCTGTGGGTGGGGCCACTTACGTGCTGAGTGAGATCAAAGGATTCAAGTACAGAACTCAGCTCATTTGCATTTCTGTCATCAACATTATCCACATGAATATTAAAATCACCTGTAATAACCAAACTATCAAAATCTGTGCATACAACTGAAAGCAACTCGGTAAAATTATCAATAAAACTGTGACATGACTGCGGTGGCTTGTATAGGACAACGAAGAGTATTGGAGGAGATTGTTTTTGTTGTATTTTAAAAGACACATATTCAAATGACGAAAACTTCCCAAGAGACATTCTATGGGAGACAAAGTGGTCTCTAAAAATGGCAGCGAAGCCTCCTCCTTTTTTGTTTTCCCGTATTTCAGATTCAAACTTGAAATTTGGTGGTGATGCTTCTATTAAAACTGCATTTTCTGAATTTTGGTCAAGCCAAGTTTCAGCCATGAACATAAGATCAAGATTATGAGAACAAATAAAATTATTGATTAAAAAAGACTTGTTCCAAAGAGATCTGACATTAAGCGTAGCAAGTTTCAAAGTTTCAGTATCAGCGGTTGCAGTCGGCTGATTCTTATACGGAACAAGAATTAGATTTTCCAGATTAGACTGATTAACTCCAGATGTTTTTCTGTAATGTATTCTTTGTGTTATCACTAAGGGAATGGCACAGGTGGCTTCATGACAGGGCCCCAGCCGGGTCTCTCCTCTAACTAGACTGCCAGTGGCTGCGAAGCAGAGACCCTGTGCATCCTAGTGTTTCGAGAAAAGAGGGGAAGGGGAAGGCAGGGGAGGAGGATGGAGAGGTGGGTGGCTTTTGGGTGTTGAACGAGGGGGGCAGGGAGGTGATGGGTTAGGGCCGGAGTGGGCTGAGGCAGAAGTTTTGGATGTTGAACGAGGGGGAAGTGGGGGTGGAATGGTCATGAGGTTAGGGGAGGGACTGGCTGAGGTGGTTTTTGTAGGTGAATTGGAAACCCTAGGTGGTTTTGGAGGTACATATGGGGAGTGGTTTAGCATGTTGGACAGGACTCTAGATCGAGCTAATATGGGTGTGAGAGGAATAGTCTTCATGGCCGATTTTATTAGCCCTGCAGAGTGTTCAGGTAGGTCTAACAGTGAAGGCGGGGATGAAAAACAAAGGGAGGTGTCCCCATTCTCTCTTGATGGAGTGGACGTGGCAGGGGGGACCCAAGACAGGTCCATGGGAGGTGGCGAGGGAGTCTTTGATGGAAGGGCAGGTGGTTGAGGAAACCCCAGCACAGGCCTGTCTGCTGTAGGCTGGGGTGAGGATGGGGGCTTCAGAGGCGCTGTAGATGAAGAAGGCGTGGCTGCTTTGGAGCAGGCTGGGGATGAGGATGTTGGTGGTGGTGGTCGTGCTGCTGGTGCTGCTACTGGTGATGATGCAGCTGCTGCTGGTGATGATGCAGCTGCATCTGATGACAGTGGAGGTGTTGAGATCCTTTGAGGCGGTGATGGTGTTGAGATCCTTCGAGGTGGTGGTGGTGTTGAGATCCTTCGAGGTGGTGGTGGTGTTGAGACTTTTGGAGTTGGCTTCCTCCCTTTCGATGGCTGCACGCGCAGGGTCTCAGGGCAAAAGAAAGGTTATTGAAGCCAATAATTCCCTTTGGCTCGCGTGTCCACAATTTGGTACAGAAATCAGACGAAGATATCCAAGTTTAACATCTGCATTTAATTATCTTTACAATCAGATACAGAATATTCAACAAAAAAAGTGCTCCTAAACTAATATGTCCCTCTCCTGGCCCTCGGCTGATTCTCCCGTCTCTTCCCAAGCCAGAGCATTATGTTCAGGGAGCAGGGGGCGTGTCGTATCAGGGAGGTCCTGTGCCCAGGGTCCGATGACGTCACAGGTCTGAAACTGGTCTCTGGTCTGAGACTGGTCTGGTCTCTGCTTAAGCAAACAATCCCCCCACCCGTGCGGCGCCTGTGTAAACGCAGCTGCTGCGGGAGGGGGCTGCGGGGGATCCATAGGTCAAATTTGCCACACATGTGTTTATTCTGGGAGTCAATAATTGTCTGGCTTTTGTAAGCTGGTCCTCCTTTATGATTCTCGTACTATCTTGTCCTTGGGGTTTTTCCTGAGTGCACAGAGGTCTTTCTGGCTATGATGTTCAAATGGTCAAATATTAAAATATACAACAGTTCCCCTCTGTTGACCTATATTAAACCAATTTAGGTCACAATCTTTCAATATCCCTTCTGGGTGCCGAGACTGGGGAGCTCGTCCATCATCGCCTTGGTTCTTGGTTCTGGCTCGTTATCTGTGAAGAATTAATACAGAAAGAATACACACACAACAACATTCGAAACATTCCTTCACAAAACTCTTTGATGACCACTGCTGTCATTCTGATTCTTCTTCAACCTCGCCTGTAATGTATGCACTAAAACTATTCACTATAGTTTAAACTATTCTAATCTATTTACAAATATGTTTG